GATGCCTTTGATTATGAAAAGGAATTAAACTAAGCGTTTTTTCTCATTTCTGTCACTAGTAGAAAACAGGGCTTTCGTTCGGGATGCAGACGGCGAGGGCATTCGCGTAGGCCACGTTATCGCGACGACCTGCACGGAGGCCAGATCGCGTATGGCGGCAACTCCAACAACGTCCACGACGGCCAGATCCCGGGTGAAGACGAGGAGAAAACTGAGGTCGCCGATCGGCGCGGAAGGGCGGCGATCGGCCGGACGGGGCGACGTTGGAATGGGCCGCGTGATCGCGGCTAGGTCGTGGGTCTCTTTTTTGGTGCGAGGGACGCGGGGTAGATGCGAGTCGGCCGTATCGGCTCGAGCCGTGCAATCGGCTGTACGTGTATGCGGACATCGCATACGGCGCGGGATACGTTATGTACCGTATGCCTAAAATGCCCTTATACGTTAAGGGGTACCCAAACAGAGCTCTTCCGTGATATAATTTATGATATGCATCAAGGGAGCAGGTAGCATCCTGAATCGGATTAAGAATGCAGCAAGGAGCAGGTAGCATCATAAAGTTATAAGTTAAACGGTAAAGCTAATTTCTTGCCGGCAGGAAATTTACAACAGATCCTATGGATTCCGTTTATTCTGGATCGAACGGTATCTGATAGTTCGCGAGCGAACTGCCCGTTTTTTCTTATCCTCGCGTCTTTCTCTCGCCGATATTTTCTCTCGATCCCGTGATATTTTCTCTCGATCCCGTTTTTCTCTCGCAGTTCTCTTTCCCGTCCCGTTTTTCTCTCGCACAACAGTTCTCTTTCAAAGAAGAAAAAAAATGCAATCCTAGGATTTGAACCCAAGCCATCAAAGATAAGTCATGGTCCTTCTACCAACTGAGCTAGCCCAGCTTCTACGTAAATAGTAAGAAAGACAGTTTTTTAAGATGGAGTTTCTGCTCCTAGGTGCCAAATGAACAGTAAAATCAAATTCATACAAGCTTTTTGCCAACCAAGTGATTCGAACCGTGCATGATGTAGTAGTTAATTTAACTAAGCAACCATCTCACTGATGTCTCCTTTTCCTGAAGAACTAAAAGGCAATGTGCTTTTCATATCTACACGAAATTTGAATCAGATTTTTTTTACTAAAATGTGGTAATTTTTTTGTAAATAGTATGATTATTTAAGCACCATATACCTGATAACTTAGGTATAAGCACCGCGGTAACTTTGACTACATGAAAAAAATATTAAAAACATATACCCGATAACTGATGTGTAAATATCATGATAATATACACATCCAAATCTCATAATTCAAATGCAAACACCGTGGTAACCTCTACCAAATGATTTGTTGTTGTTAAAACATACCCCCCAATAAATTCTGTGTGAATAACATGATCATTCAAGCACCATAGACCTGATAACTTAGGTATAAACACCGCGATAACTTCGACCAGGTAAAAATTATTGAAAACATACACCCGATAACTTATGTGAGAATATCATGATAATATATGCATCCACACATGATAACTTAAATACAAACACCGTGCTAACCTTACCAGCCGTTTTCTTTTTGTTACTGAAACCATCCCGATAACTTTTGTGTAAATAACATGATTATTTAAGCACTGTAGACCTGATAACAGGTACAAATACCAAGGTAACTTTGAACCAGGTGAAAAATTATTGAAAACATACACCCGATAATTTTTATGTAAATAGCATGATAATATACACATCCATATATGATAACTTACATACAAACACCCCGGTAACCTTGACCAGACGCTTTTTGTTGTTGAAAATATACCCCGATAACTTTTGTGTAAATAACATGATCATTTAAGCGCTATATATCTGATAACTTAGGTACGAACACCACAATAACTTTGAACCAGGTGAAAAAATTGTTGAAAACATATGCCCGATAATTTCTATGTAAATAACATGATAATATACGCATCCACACCTGATAATTTACATACAAACACCGCGGTAACCTCAACCAGACGATTTTTCGTTGTTGAGAATATACCCTGGTAACCAAAATTCATAACTTGTGTGCAAAAAGAGTGGTATTTTTCGTAGCTAACAACGTAGACTCAAACACCATAGTAAATTTTTACCGGAGGAAAAGTTGTTGAAATATATCCTGATAATCTTCGTGTAAAGTTTTCATGTTGCCCATGCTAAACTTAGCATGCTTCTCACGCTTATCAGCATTATAATGATAGAGTTGTCAACCTTTGTCATGTTATTTGTTATCAGGGCGTTATGTGAAGTTACCATGATGGTCATGTCATAGTTATCACGCTGCTTATTCCAAGTTATCAAGACTGTTTTTTTGCTAATATGATAGAAAGAAAAAGGGTTCAAATACCCCTGTTTATGTATTGTGGACAATAAAAAAATACGGGTGAGTCGGTTGGTGGCTGTAGTAGCTACTCAGGAGACCAAAGTTTTCAAGTCCCCTTTTAAGCACTTTATTTCTTTTTCTCCGCTATCTAGACTAGTTGATATAAAACCAGACAAGTAAGAGAAGTCTGTGAACCGAGGTGAGAATAAAAATCGGTGGGAAGAAAATCTAGAAGAAAGAAAATCAGAGAAGCGGGAGGAACAACGCAGCGGGACGAGCGATCGAAGGTCGTCCGGATCTGTTGCTAACCACCAGTCGACTGGTGGTTAGCACAGTCCTAAGTTAAAATATGATAATATAACTTACATATCGGTGCACCGGCAAGCGGACAAAGCTGTGAGCTCACCCGGAACCATGGTTGCTTCTTCGTGGAATCTTCACGGAATTTTGTATGCAACAAGGAGCAGGTAGCATCATGAATTTTGTATGCAGCGGCAAGCAAACAAAGCTGTGAGCTTTGCACGCAAATCCTCGGCAGCCTGAATCTTCCTCGACCTCGTCGCCTTCGCCGCCGTCTTTCCCACACCTTTGCGCCACGCTCCTGTCCTTCCCGGCGGCATCCGGCGGCATCCGGAGGCCGCCACGCTCCTGTCCCTCTCGCCGGCCGCCGCGCGCGCCCCGGGCCTTGGCGACGGCGGAGGGCGGCAGCGTGGAGTATGGAAGCCTGGACCACCCACCACCTACTCCTACGTGCTTCTTCAGTTCAAATTATTAAATTCAGAGCTGCAACAAAGCTAAACAAAGATGCACTTGCCTTGCAGCTGCAGGAGGAGGAGGATAGATTATTTCCACCATCCACGTCCGTTGCGTCAAGGGGTCCTTCCCCGAAGTTTCCAACTTGTCAAAGCTCCGTGGCAAACTGAGCCCGACGACTTTGGGGAACTGCTCCTGCTCCCCATCCCATTCAGATCCAGCCATTTCTCTCCTCCTGCTGCGTGCTCGTCCGCGGAGAGACAAGGCCCGAAAGGAGCGCCGCCGTCGCACCGATATAGGGTGAGCACTCCCCCTTGAACCACCCTACCCTTGCTTTGATTTGTTTTACCACATCTGAAACTGCAAACTTAGTTTCTTCTGCGGTTCACATGCTAATGCTACTAGTTTTGATGGCAACTGTATGTATTTCACATGCCAGGAGCAAATTTTCTTTTATCAGGAGGCTCGATTAAAGCCTTGGATGGAGTATACACTTAGTTACTAACTCTCTTTTAGTTTCGATGGCAACTGATTTCACATGCTAAATCTTTTTATCAAGAGGCTTGATTAAAGCCCTGGGTAAATTTTCGTTTTCTGCGGTTGAAACTAATTTAATTTCATGGGAAAACTTTTGGTGAAAAACTATCTGGATCCGGAGAAAACAGTTGCTACAATTGCCGGCTTCTTGCATACTCTGACTTCATATTTTACTTCATAATGCTAGCTTTATCTTGTCTATACTTAATGCTAAACGATGAACACTCTCTGCTTGCAGGACGAAAATTAGATGTCCTGGCTCCGGCCACCATGAGCTTATCTGCTGTCATTGGGGCCATCGGTGGCATCAATGAGTGTGTCACTTTCTGGCAGTGGGCTAAATCCGCCATTTCATCCCTGCACTCCCGATGGAGTGGCTCACAGGAGGAGGATCTCCAGGATCGTGCATTGAAGTTGGAGACTGGCCTAAAACTTCTGAGGGACACTCTTCCTACAATGCACGACCTCATTAATAAAGCAGAGTGGAGGAGCCATGATGATGGTGTGGCAAGTCTCCTTCCCAATCTCAAGGATGCAGTGTATGATGCCGAGGACCTTCTTGATGAATTCACATGGTACGAGAAGAAGGTGCAAGTGGAGGGCGATAAGCCACTCTCCTTTCATTGACTTCTTTAATACCGTCATTCAAGGCAGCTTCAACAAACTGGATAGCATCCAGTCGAGGTTGAGCCATCTCTCGAGTCAGATGGAGAGTATAGGGCTTCATGGAGTCGAACAACACTTTGACAAATTAGTCAGGCCAGAGAGCATCTCCTGTTTGCCGCGAAAGGGAAAAAATATATTTATTGGTCGTGACAAGGAGCTGAAGCGGGTCTTGGGATTTCTCAATGTACTTAAACGGAAGAGAGCAACTAGTTCAATCAATGCATCAACAAGCACATCAACAAGCAACCCTGCTAATAATGAATCAAGTCTTCCTGTTTCGGTTATAGGTGGAATTGGTGGTGTTGGAAAGACTACATTGGCCCAGCATATCTTCAGTCATGAAAAAGTGCAATCTCAGTTTGAGAAGAGAATTTGGATTTGTGTCTCAGATGACTTTGATGCGAAGAGGTTAACGAAAGAGGTCATACAATCCTTTACTGGAGTAGTGCCAACAACTGAGAGTAGTTTGGAATCTCTTCAGAATGCTCTGAAGAAGCATGTGAACAATAAAAGGTTATTGATTGTCCTTGATGATGTGTGGGATGATGCCTTGAAGGAAAATGGGCAGCGTTGGGAGCAGTTTTATGCACCTTTTTGCAGTGTCCAAGAGGGAAGTGCGATGTTGGTCACCACTAGATGTCCAAATGTTGCCAAGGATGTGTGCACAACTGGGTCTGTTATATTAGAAGGTCTAGAGGATGGCGCCTTCAGGAAATTTTTCAAATTATGCATGTCTTGGATCTGAGGATTCTAGCAATCATCCTGACTTGGAGCGCATTGGTGAAAGTATACTTCCTAAATTAAAGGGTTCTCCTTTGGCCGCCATAACTCTGGGCCGCATGTTGAAAGCAATCCCTGAAGTATCACGTTGGAATTCTATACTTGAGAGTGAACTGTGGGCGTGGAAACAAAAGGAGACCGACATTTTACCTGCCCTTCGGTTGAGCTACATATATTTACCATTCTACTTGAAGCCATGCTTCGCATTCTGCGCTTTGTACCCCAAAGATTACAAATTTGAGAAGGCAAAGTTAGCTGAAATTTGGGTGGCAGAAGGCTTCGTGGAGCCTCAAGGTGGTGTTCCCATTCAAGATGTTGGCTGTCAGTATTTTGAAGATCTTGTAGCACAGTCCTTCTTCCAGGAGGTTAATGGTGGATACGTAATCCATGACCTGCTCCATGACATGGCACAAATGGTTTCAAAGCACGACTGCTTCATCTTAAGAAACAAGAGTGACTTTGATAAAGTTCCCCAGAATGTTCGTCATCTATACGTACTCCCTAGCAGTGACTTTGATGAATCCAACTTGCCGAGCCTATGCAAGTACACAAAGCTGCGTACCCTAATTTGCAAGAAGAGTTTAGGAAGAAATGCATGTATTGTAATGGGTCGCTGGTGTACTGAACTTCTCCATATGCGTGTGATGTCTTATGCCTTCACAGATATGTTACCAGATAATATTGGCAACTGGAAGAATCTTCGGTACCTTGAAATCTCTAGACCTTGTTATTTGAAGAAGATTCCTTCAACTTTCTGTTGGCTATATAATATGCAGATTTTCTATGCCAAGAAATGCCAGATGGAAATGCCCGGTGACTTTGGTAAGTTGATCAGTTTGCAGAAATTCGAATCAAACGGATTAACTCTTGATTCCGCCAATAAAGGGGGAAATGGAGTTAGGTCAATAAAGAATCTGAACCAAATTCGTGGATACTTGGTGATAAATAATCTTGGCGCCCTAAGTAAGGATCAGGCAGCGGAAGCTGAACTGAAAAATAAGGAATATCTTGATAGGTTGACACTGAATATGCATATGCCAAGGGTTTTAGGCTACCCTTTGTCTCACACCATCCAGAACAGAGAAGTGCTTGAAGTTCTACAACCTCCTATCAGCCTCAAGTTTCTGGTCCTAGAGAATTATGGCGGTTCCTCACTCCCAAGCTGGTTTCAGCCACAAAACTTGCCAAGTTTAGAATCACTCACTTTTGTAAGATGTGATGGACTCAACAGCATAAACTTAAATGAGATACTCGCATTCCTATCCCTCACAGACTTAACAATTGAATGGTGCAAAAATATATCAAGCCTCGAAGATCTTCTGCATCAAGGTTATGTACCAAGCATCAAGAAAATAGGAATTAGAAATTGCAAGATCTTACCATCAATACCAACTGAAAAGTTCCGGGATTTGCAATTTCTTGAAGACCTGTGGATATCCGAATGTCCAAACATCCGCCTCCAGAGATTGGTTTCGCAGTCCCTTAAGAAGCTCGGCCTGTGGGGTTCTGGTCTCTTTTGCAATATCGACTGCTGCTCCCTCACTGAATTTACTGTATCATGCAAGTCTATCACATACATCCAACTGCAAACGTGGAGTCTTCCAGCACTACAGAGCTTGGAAATTAGCTGTGGATCTCTTACGTGTATTGGAGACTCCCCTAATAGTTCCATTTCCGCGGGAACTGGCAGCATTAGAGCATTCTCATCCCTTAAAGTCATAGCAATTTCTCGCTGTGCTAAATTGCCAACCCTTGATGACCTGCTAACACAAGAGTATCTACCTGCCATTGAGAAAATTGAAATTAGCTATTGTTTGAAGTTAAAGTCCCTGCCAGCTGAAAGGTTTGGGAGTTTTCCTTATCTTAAACATCTGAAGATTTATTCGTGCCCAAGTCTCGAGTGGCAAAGAGGTTTGGTGCTGCCAACATACCTCCAAAGCCTCTGCTTAATGGAATGTGGGGATATCTCTCCATATGTTCCCGGATGCCTACAGAACCTCACATCCCTCGTCTCACTTGAAATTGGTGGATGCAATGGTATAACATCCATTCCAAGCAACATCTGGTACAATAATCATGTATCACTCCAGAAATTGGTGATTGAGAATTGTCCAGGCCTAGTTTCAATCGGTGGAGCAGAAGCACTTGCAAATATCAAGGAGGTGAAGATATGCGGGTGTCCAAACTTAGCGAACGAGGAGCAGATCAATAGAAGATCCGGCCCAAGGTATTTGTGTTAGAACTTGTTTACTGTGCAGTTTTTAATTCTCTGTTGTTCAAAATACCCTATATATATACTGTAAATAACTCATGCATTTTGCAGTAAAAATCCAACTTGTATCTTTATCACGGAAGTACGCTGAACTTGTTGAACACACCTACCTGTTAGTTCCCATGGTTTGAGTAATTCCATACATGTGAGAATGTTTTGAAAAAAAGTTGCTAACCTGTAGATGTACTAGTGATGACAAATTTGCTTCGCTTTATTTGGGGAGCCAAATTTGCTTTTCTGACCATGTTTTCTTCTTCAAGTACAAGGAGGATATGGAGGACTAGGTGACAGGTGATCGAGCTGGAACCAATAGCTGGACTACTTGGAAGTTGGAAGACCTGAGGACAACGGGACATCGTGTATTTTTCCTGCAGCACAAACTCTCCTAGCTGCAATCCATATTTGTGCTCCTCCGGTTTTTTTACGGTTCCATTCCATCAATCTGCAATCCATATTTGTGCTGATAACTATCAGTTCCCAGTTTGCACAATCGTGGCAAAAGTTGTTGTCACTTCTGAATCAGAGTTTGTCCCGAAAAGGATTTGAATATGGTAGGGTTTTTGTCCCGAAGAAGGTTTCCCCACCATATCCAAGTCTGTTTAGACGCCAAGTTGTGCACCTACAAGAGTCGCTGTGCGTCTCTAAGACATGTTATATCTGTATGGATTTTGTGTGTTTTGGCGCATATTAACTCTGGAATATGTTTACCTGCCATGCCTGTTTGTGATTTTACCCCCTTGTTCTGTAGTTTTTGTTGTTAGCTCTGTGGTTTCTGCTTGTGCTCTCTCTCTTTTGCTGGTTTCCCTTATCTCTCTGTTTCTCCCAATACCAAATGGCGCGCGTACCTGAGAAAAAAAATAGGAATGATCTTAGCTGGTCGGAATGAATAGGCAGGCAGCTGGTCTCATTTTTCAAAAGCAAATACTGTATTATCTAGAGTAGTTTGCTGTAGGAGGTTGCAGGGCAGATTTCTAGGCCTCGTCTGATGGGCTAGTATTTCAGAGTTATGGACAAAGTAAAACTAAATGACTCTTTCTAGCACTTCTAAATGTAGGCTGTACATTTGAGAATAAATTGGGATTAGGTTGGACAAGGAGCCTATTTGATTACTACTTTTTTTATATTAACGAGCCTATTTGATACTAATGAATTGCAGTGTCCAGCAGAGCTATTAGCCAAGGGTGCAGGGTGCATATTCCTACTAGATAATGAATTAGGATTAGATGTAGGGTTTATATTTCTACTTATGATGAGAGCCTGGCATGGAATGCATCTTAACTCTGGAATTATTGATAGATTTTTTTAAAAGTAAGGAATTTACTGTAGTGTGCAGCAGAGCTACCTAAGGTAGTCTGCTCTTGCTCACTAATACAGTATATGTGTGTGCTGCTGATGTTACTGCCGATGATTGGCTGACTTGAGAATTGAGCCTGAAGCCTGCGCCGTACATTTTACAAGACAGCGGGGGTTCAGACTTAGTCTTTTGTGTTTGTTTCAGTTTCTCAAGTCATAGGAAGGACCGGCGGTTTCAAGCACAATCCTAGAGTTTGCTCTAGTACGTACATTTGGTCAATTAGGAATAGACTGCACAACAATTAGGAACACTGAAAGTGGCATCTTGGCACAAGACTGAATCTGTCTGTGCAGGTTTCTTTCTTTTCTTGGTACAGATTAAATTAGGAAGCATCATGAATCAAACCAACTCTGGAATATGTGCTTAATTACATTACCTGCCTGTTGATGGTCAAGGGTTATTCTCCAATTTAATCTTTGCGCTTTGAGCTGCAACAAATTAACAGTTCAGTTTATGGAATAGCTACTGATGTTGATGTTGGTCCTGGTGATTGAGGTGACTTGAGAGCCCGAGCATACTTACTGAACTTTTTTTCCCATTGATTAAGAACTAATTCAAACCGCAACCAGGTTGATCGGACCTTTTAGGAAGATTGACAGTTTCAGGTTTCGGACCTACTACTAGCTAGTTCAGTGTAGCAGTTTTGCAGGGCTCAGATTTCGACGCTTCCGATGATTAATTATTCAGTCTGCAGCACAAAGTTGAATCTCAATAGTGTGTCTGTGTTGATGCTTGAGGGGCTGGACAGAGCTATATGACATGGGCAGCGGAAGCGGGGGCAGGCCGCAATTATTTATTGCATTTACTGGGTTTTGAACCTGGAACCTTTGTAAACTTTTGTACCTAACCAATTCACCCATCAGTCCGAACTGATGGAGAGAGGCGGACAATATATTTCAACACTCCCCCTCACGTCTAGACTATTTTAATACTTAGATGTGGGATCGATGTAGGCCGCAGAATCGTTTTATTTAATACTACGTTGACAGGGTCTTGAACTCAAGACCTCGGCTCGGATACCATATTGAATTCATGCTCCAGCCAACTCATTCAAAAGTCCGAACTATGGGAGAGGGCCGGATATTATACTCCAACAGGTTCTTTGGATGATGAGCAGGCAGAGGTGCAGTATATTGTTTTGGGATTGATGGATGCAACTCAAATGATGATTCTTCATCACTGTCTGTATGTACAGGTGGCGTGCATTGCCTCCCTGCCGCTGTAAATTCTTTGCTATGTCTGGTTGACAAGAGAAACTCTAGACAAGAGCTTGTTCATCTGATCAGATGTACATTACTATTACAAACTAAATCTGCCGGCGGTGTTTGTTTAGCAAGCATTTGATTGATCCCATTGGTGATTGAAAGGAATCAAGCCCATTTCTGTTGCTACTGGAGTAGAGTAGTATCCTCTGCTTCTTAATTTTACCAGCAGAGCAGAACACTACTGTTGCTGCTGTTCTTTCCATAAACCACTCTTACTGAACTTATGAGGTTTGCATCTCGAGCTGCAACAGATTAGCAGTTCAGTTCATGGGAACGGTATATTAATTACTCGTACGGTCGCCACGATGATGATGAGATGGACCTTTTAGGACTGTCAGCTGCACATGTTCTTGAGGATAGATAGAAGAGATTATTATTTCGCAAGGAATTGCGATTTTCTGTTGTGAGGTGGAACCTCTAGTAGCCCTCCATACTCCACTTTTTTTTAACAGGTATGTGAAACAACTGGTTTGCATCTTTCAACAAGTTGGGGGTTCAATGGGAGTACGGAAAATAATTTATTGCTCAGGAGGACTGGGGGAAGATCGGAGACAAGGTTCGTCGGCACTACATGACTGATGGCCGCGCAGACGACCGAGCTCGGCGGTCGCGGTGATAATTTGGGCGCCGATGGCATTCTCTTCTCACCAAATGGTATAGGGTCTGACATTTGGGGTAGAATTGAGGCTTCCAGCGAAGATCCTATTGGTACGAGGCAAGCTGGGGCTGAGATTTCTGCGGGCACGTTGGACGGTGATAATTATGTGCAAAGTGCAGGAACGGAATCTTCGATTCACTGTGATCACTGCGGTGCGAAGAAACGTTCAGAATATCAAGCAAGGACGGAAGCAGGAGATTGCACGAACGTTTTTTTTTTTAGAAATCCAGAGATGGCACGAAGGTGTTTCCAGCTAGTGGGCTGGGGTTGGCTCAACATCCAAGGGCTGTTGTTTTTCTTCTTTTCTTTTTATTATTTCTTTTTTATTAGCCTAAAAAATCTGCCTTTATTCAATTCAAACAACTTTTGAATTGTTTGGACACTAAAACTGAGCTCGAACCTTGTGAGAAATTTTATGACGCTCACTCGGGAAAGATCTGGTTTGTTTATATATATATTTGTGGACTCCAATATCTGGCTTCCATGCCCTGGCGAGCACCCCCTATCGAAAGATTTGTATTAGAAGGGAGAGAGAGGATTGGTGGAATAGTTGTTCGTTGTATTGCTTGAGCCTCGTGGACGTATATGTAGTGAGTACACAATCTGCTTGGAGTACAAGGCAAGGTAGAATAATATCCTACAATATCCTAGCTTTCCTAATAATCACGTACTCAACATCCCCCCGCAGTCAGAACGGTAGCGACGCAGACGGTGAGATTGGAGAAGAATCTGAAGGCAAGACGACGGACACCACCACCCCCAGGGGCGGAGCCAGGATTTGAACATGAGTGGGGCGAACAAAGCTATGGTCATTTTCAAGAACACATATGATATTTGCTTTCTATGTATCAAGGTAAAAATCATAGTAATTTTACAAAGAGGCGTCTCGCAACACAGGCACGAAACATCTACCATTCTCTTTGTTTCATGTTAGGCATAACTCGCTTTAGACTACTGTTTCACACCATACTATAGTTAGATACTTCTTCTGTATCAAAACATAAGACTTTGTGGACACTACAGCCTCTTATATGTTGGTACGGATGGGGTACTTACTCGTTAAATTGAGCTTCACAGCTATGAAGCTCAACAAACGAGTTGATACTATATGCATTGCCGTTGTCTTTTTTCTCACCCTTATGACCAATTTTTTGTAAAGCTACATCTAACTTGGAAAAAATTGACCTATATACAGGGTCACTAACTAACCAGACTGACATGTAAAGTTGCTAATTAACCAAGCAAACGTGTTAATTGGACAAAATAAGGTACTTCACCATTAGCGATACATCAGGGTACCTTTTGATCTGACTGCTAGCTTCGACGGAAGTAAGTTGGTGATCTATAGACTCCTTGGAGAGATACTGCAGCAGGATCAAGCGGCAAGCCATTGACGCAGTCGACCGCAGCGCCTCAGCTGATACCTGATAACCGGCGGCGTGCTTTGCGAAAGTTGGAGCGGCAGCAGGTGCCCTAGTTGCGCCAGATCGATCGATTGATGAAAAGCGACGCGCACGTTCTAGGCGGATAGATTAAAAGGCCAATCAAGACGCTAGAAGCCTTCCACGATGGGCTAACGGGCTGTATTTTGGGCTCCTGGTAAAGCTACAGAACTAAATTGTGGGCTTCAAATCTTAATCGAGTGATTATATACGGCAACGCGTCCTATTATGTACGTATACTACTACTAGCGCCTGCTACGACTTCATGGCGTATGTGGTGTATAGCCGTAGTCGAGGTAGCCGTGCGAAGAACGCCGTGGCCAGTGTCGAGTTGGGGGTCGCCGGTGTCAAGGTAGTCGCCGTGGAGCGAAGGAAGAAGAGCAGCGGCGGCGGCGGCTAGAGAAGGAGCGCCGCGACGGTGCTCGAAGTAGGCGATAATGAATCCGACAGCATGACGAAGATCGGCGCGGACGGTGACGTTCGCGCGCCAAGGGAAGCGGCGCGACGCATATCACGTGAAAGTCAACGCGGGTGGACGATGGTGGACCACGGGCCGCAGCGTTATGGCC